CTTTTTAAATATACATTTTGTAGCTGTTGTTATTCTTAATAGTTTTGTCTTTTAACTTTTATACCAGAGTTAATGATATAGGCACTATCATCACACATATTTTATTATTCTGTATATTTTATTTACTTTGCCAGTAAGATTTATACTTGCATATACTTTTATGTTATTACTTAGCATTCTTTTGTTTCAACTTTAAGAACTTCTTTTCAGTTTCCTTCATCTTGATGAACTTCCTGGATTTTTGTTTTTGTTTTTGGTTTTTTTCTTTAGCTTTCTTTCATTGCAAATGGATAGCTTTGCTGGGGATAGTATTTTTGACAGGAGAGTTTTTGGTGTTTGTTTTGTTTTGTTTCTTTCAGCACTTTATTTATATAGCCTTCATCTTTCCTTGCCTAAAAATTTCTGCTGAGAAGCTTGTTTGTGGCAAACTTCTTCCCTCTTGCTATTTTCAAATTTTTCTCTTTGCCTTTGACTTTTGACAATTCAATTACAATGTATTTTATGTAGAACATTTTATGTTCATTTTATTTGGAATCCTTTAGTTTTCATGAATCTGTACCTCCATTTCTTTCCTCAGACTTGGGAAGTTTTCTGTCAATATTTATTTATGTTTTCTGCTCCTTTTTCTTTTATTTCTTTGGGACTTCAAAAAGGCATATTTTGGGTTGATGGTGTCACATGATTTTTTATGTGAAGCATCCATTGCTTAAGCTAACCTAATTGAGTGTCTGCTTCTCAAAACCTAATGAAAAGGTACTAAGATGGGAAAGAGAATTCTAAGATATGAATCCTGCCTTCACTGAGTTTATAGTATGAGTTGAGTAGCAAATGAGTGAGCATGACTTCCATATAAAGATTCAGAGAAGGGAAAAGTTTCTTGGGGTGGGGCGGAGGGTGGGGATTGAACTCAGGACCTTGTGCTTGTGAGGCAGGTGGCGGCACCACTGAGCTAAATCCCCAGCCCCAGGAAAAGATTTTTGTGGACTGACAATAAGCAAAGAAAGACCATGGCAGTCAATTTGGGGGATCTGAGAAAATTGCATAAATGAATATATACAAAGTAATCTCATGATCATTGATTTGTAGGTGGAACACTTACTATTGATAGAGCTGAAGTTGATGCAGTTTTGAAGGAAGCATTTTGGCCATAGGTATGAAGAATCCTCAAGATGCATATATCATTCAGCCAATTAGTTCCACTTTAGGAACTATATCACAAACAAATAATATGAAGTGCATGCAAAATTATAGATAACAGGGATTCACTACTGAAGCCTAATATAAAATAGCAAAGAATTAGAGACAGCATAAATTCCTACATCAGAAACTAAAGTCTTACTTTCAGCTCTGCCTTCTCCACCCCAGGCTTCCAAACTGGGCTTCCTGTTCCTCACAACTTCCCTTCAGTCTCCCAGGCCTACCTGTGGTGATTGCTGCTCAGGTTACCCCCTTGGTGACAGCTCACTATGTCCTTTCTGTCTTTCCAGTTTACTATGATTGGTTAGTAACCACATAATGTGATTCACATCAAAGAGAAAGCTTTAGCCACGTCCTGCAGATAACAAGTTAGGAAATTTGGGGGTGATATTCAGTGGGCTGATTATCTCCAGGAGATAACACAAATAAATCAGCACCATTCATAAGATTCTTCTTTATGTCTGGTTAACAGTTCTATATATTACATCCTCTTTCTTAAGATACCTGGTGTGCTTTCTGTCTCTAGCCTGGATACTGACTGATAGAGAACAGTATGCAAAAATATAAATAATATGTGGCAATGTTTAATTTCTATTATTAAATAGATAAAAAGAACACAAGAAGTAAAACTGTAAGATCAGTTTGATTGGAACTTATTTTTATTGTGTAGAGGGAAAAAAGAGCAAAAACAAATGCAAAAAGAAAGAAGAAAGAGAGGGTGACCAGTGGCAGCCTCCAGTGATTAGTATGTGAATTCATAGGTAAAAAGTCCCTAAGAACCAGGCATGGTCACACAGGCCTATAATCCCAGCACTCTGGGGGGCTGAGGCAGGAGGATTGCAAATTCAAGCCCAACCTGGCCACTTAGTGACTTAGCAAGACCTTATGTCAAAAAATAAAAAAAGGCTGAGGATGTAGCTCAGTGGGAAGTCTGGGATTCAATCCCCAGTGCCTTCTGCCCACCTCCCCCTGCTGTTTCCCACAATAACCCACAATGTCTAGATCTGGGTGCTCCTGAATGTTTCCTACTGGGTCTGTTTCCCCTCCCTTAAGGCCCCCTTTGGAGCCACGGTGAGGCCCTGGGTGCTGTCTGGTCTCCAGAGGAGCTTGGGAGGTTCCCTTTATTGCAATGCCATCTGGGAAGGAGTCACTTTGGGAAGACAGTCTGATGCATCTCAGTTCCCATTTCTATGGCAACAAAGTAGCAAGTCCTGAAAGTCTGATTGTGTTTTAGAATGTGGTAGCTGCTAATGATAGGCAGCTCAAGTCCCTCGGCCTTATTTATTATTGAAATTATTTTACTTTCATGTTTCTTTTGAACTTTATTTCTCCTACCCTTCTTGGACTTTACCCTTAAAAATACACAGTACAGATATATGGATGGGGATTAAGATATATGTATGTATATTTATTAGATATAGAGATAAAATAGAACATGGCTATGCTACGCAAACAGAGGACTGGGGACAGAGAGCGAGACAGGGCAAGGGAGAGAAAGAGACAGAGAGAGAGAGAGAGAGAGAGAGACAGACAGAGAGACAGAGAGATATCTTTCTTATATTTAGGGCTGCTTGCTTTAGCAGTTGTTATAGAGACAAAAAGCCAGATTACAGAGCTAAAATACCTGGACTGGACTTCGACTTGGGAGGGGAAGCAGGGCCAGAGGGATGCAAGGTGGACCTTGGCACAACCTTTGGTTTCTCTAAGGACAATGGAGAGCTGTGAAGAGAAGAGGGAAGCGGAGTGCAGGTGAATGGGCCTGGGACCCAGGGGGGAGTCCCAGGAAGGCCTGCACCTCCATGTGTCATCAAGGGGCCTCTCCTGTCACAGCTGGTGCGTCTTCAGGGAAGATTCTGCCTGGCTGCCCTGGCCGCTGTTTTACCCCCTACAGTCTGATCTGCACCCATTGCCCTGTGGAGGTGGAAGCCACATTTGGGTGGGCTTTGGTGCATCCATGGGAGGACCACTCCCACGGGGTGTCCCTGGATCCCTCTGGGGACAGAGGCACACAGGACAGAGTGATTCGGGCCTTTCTTTCTAGCTTCAGTCTTGCTCCACCTTGTCCACTGGCCATGTAGGGCTCTTTAAATGAACAAAACCTAAATTAAAAGCAGTCCCCTCTGTACTTCCTGCTCAGTTTCTCTGTAAACTTAGAGATGCTCTAAAAACTAAAGTCTATGAATTTAAAAAATGCCATTTGTCAGCTGCTCTGGCCACTTTTCAAGTCCTCTGTAGCCACAAGTGGCCAGTAGCTGCTGCGTAGAATGGTATAGATGTGGGAGATTTCCATCATGGCAGAAAGTTCTATGGGACAACTTCCATTTAGGGAATAGTGCAGTTTGGGAGATGAATCCCTATACATTGCAAAGCGTGAATAGGAATCGTAGCCTTTCGTTCATTGCCCCTTCCTTCCTTCATTGAACAGTTGAATTTGCCAGTAACTCTCAGGGAGCTGGGTTGCCAGTTGGGAAAATCTCACTTCCTGCCCTGATAAATCTTCTCTCCACAGCATAGTGGGGCTGTAGAGACACAAATCAAATGTGGCTGTTGGGTGAGAGACAGTAGCAGACGGAGATACAGAAGGCTGAGTGCCAGGAAGTGGGCATCAGAGAAAGGGCATCAGAGAAGGAGACAGTGGAGCAGTGGCCTGAATGGAGGGGAGGGGGGAGCAAGCTTGCCGATTCCCAGGTTGGAGATGTCTGGGCTGAGGGCCGAAAGGCCATGAGGTGGATTGAGCAGAGGAGAGACATGGTCTGGTTTAGGGGTTGTCAGGATCCTTCCAGCTGCTCAGTGGAGAGTAAAGTAGAGAAGGAAAGGATGCAGTGTCCCAGAGTGGCTGTGAGGAGGCTGTGTCATGTACCAGGGGAGAGAAGGCCATGGCAGGGACCAGGTGGTGGCAGTACCAGTGGGAGGGGAAGAAGTGCCCAGATTCAAGAGATCTTCTAGTAGATCAGGTAGATTTGCTGGTAGATTCACATGGGGTGTGAGAGAAGGAGAGGAGTGAGAGATGATGCAAAGGGCTGAATATCTGCAGGGATCAAGGAAGAGCTGCTATGCTTGGGGACCAGGTGAGCTAGGGACTAGGAAGCTGGAGATGTTTATGAAACACGAGTGTGCTGATCTCAAGAATCTGAGTCTGTTCACTCAACAGAGATTTGCTGGGCTCTAGTACGTGCCCAGGGCTTAGTCATCTTGGATACGATGTTGGCACACCAACTCACTCTTATTTCCAGTCTTCTTGGATGGATGCATTAAAGAAAACGCTCACCTTACTTCCATTGTTTCTGTACCTGCTTATAAAGTCGACACTGAGCAGAGAACTCGGTGAAATGAGTAGGTCCCTTAAGTCTAGGACTGTTTTCTCTCTACTTCACCCAGTTCACAGCCAGTCACTGTGCTGAGTGCTCGGAACACTGAAAGCATAGAATACTGGTCCTGCTTGTCACTGTTGGTAAGCTGACAACTAGTGGGAGTTGCTAATGTGCAGAACAAAGGGGTCTGGATCCAACAAACCTGATTCTGAGCACTGGCTCCACCCCTCTGCACCCCTTGGTGTGGGGCCATCCCCTCTCTGAACTTGTTAGCTCATCGGTATAATGGGGCACCTGCCTCCAACTGGCTGGGATGTCAGAGGATTACAGAAAATGCGTATAAATCCCCCAGAACAGCTCCTGACACAGATGAGTATTTATCCAATAAATGGTTGTTAGAATTAACTTTGGAGTTAGCAAATGAATCAGATGTGTAATCAGAAAAATATAATAAGTCATAGAGATGCTTTTAAAAACAGATCTGAATAAAGAGGTAGGAGACAAGATAGCAAGACTAGCGATGTAGAATTACTAACTCTAGGATGAGCATCTCACTTACACACTGGGCTGAAGGTAAGTGCCCTCAGCTCCCAGGGCCTTGGTTTTCTCGTCTGTACAATGGACACAGTAGCAGCACCTCGCAGGTTTGTTGTGACTTTAAAGGGGCTTAGCATTGTTCTCAGCGCTGAGGAATTGCTCAATAAATGCTGGTGGTTACAGTTTCCTTGGGAACCCAGGGAGCCAGGGCAAGCTGCAGAGAGGAAAAAGTGAATCAGAGGGAAAATGTTCATATCAGAAACTGGAGATCAAAACAAAACAAAACAAAGCCCTTTTTTGGGCACTCAGGAAGCCAATCTGAGCTGCTCCTCCATGGCCTTGTCCAGCTTTGACAAATGTTTTTCCTGTTCCCAGAGCAGACTCTGATCCTCTTCAAGATGGGAGACTCTCAGGGAAATCTTCAGAGGTTTGTTATGACGGAAGCAGGAAGGTGATGGATATGTTTTGGGGCATTTTGAAACACAAAGGTGAATGTAATTTGGGAGGAGAGCTGTATTTTCATCCAGAGCTATTAAAATGCACCAGAGTGCCCTCTCCCTAAACCCCTGCCAGCCTTGATATTTTCCTAGATCTCCACTCTAGAACTTCTGTGAGTGACACAGGCAGCCATGACCGAGCTCACCGGAGTGGCGCAGCCAGTTTGCAGATGAAGTTTTCCCAAGTGGGTAAGTCGTCCCAAACTTTCACTGATGGAGCTACCTGCAGGGCTGGCTGGTGGCCTGACCTACTTCGTGTTCACACAGGCCCAGAGCTGCCTGCAAACATGGCCAGCGACAAGGACGTGGAGTGAGTCACTTCCCTTTGCCGTGATGTGCCCACAGCTGCTCAACTGCACGATCGGGGTAACCCCTTGAAAACCCCCTTAGGAGCTGCGGGCAGGGGCAGCCTTGCTCAATCTGGCTTAATTGATGCTCATCTCATCTGTACAGCAGGTCCTGCTTAACCGGGTGAGGTCAAGTTCGAAGAGCTGAGTCTTGCAATCTGGGAAACCAAGCCATGAACCTGGTTCTGTCACCAGCTGAAGTCAAGTTGCTCAAGACTCCATCCTTCTCTAGGTCCTTTTGCTAAATGAGTTACAAGTGGGCAGTGTCTATGTCAAAGAATACCTTGAGGAATGAGCACAATAATGTATGTCCATGTCCTGTTCAGTAACTATTCATAACTGGTCCATGCTGACCACACACCAGCTACCATTCTGAGCACTTCACGTTCATCCACTCATTTGACCTTCTCACTAGGCGAGGTGGTCATTACTATTGTTCCCATTTTACAGATGAGAAAGCTGAGACAAAGGTGTGAGGTTGCTTTCCCAGGGAGATGCAGTAAGTAGAGAAGCCCATAATGGGGCCTGATTCCAGACCTCAGGCTTCTTATCACTAGTAATACTCCCTCTCAATGAGTGATACTAGTTAGGGTTTTATTAATAAGTCCGGTCTTTACTGCACATCCTGTGAGCTATCCAAATCCCACCAGGAATCCAGAAATAATGCCCAAGCCTGTCTTTTTCCCACCATGGGAAGCGGTAGTTAATCTCAGCCTTTGAGCTCTGGATAAATCTGTACACTTATTTATAGAGAGACATAACTAAATTTTGCCTGTCCAGCTGTCCAGGCTTGCTCACTCTTTTTCTTTCTTTCTCTATTTCCCCCAGAGAGCCTATCGGGAGCTTATTTGGAGTGAATACCATTCGGAAAAAAATTCAGCTAAGAAAAACAGGAATCAAGACATCAGTACAGGTTGCTGACAGGACCTTTGATCTGGCCAGAAATAAATATAAAGGAAGCAGCCACGAGCTCTCTTGCTGAGTTGCCATCCAAACCAGCGGAGATCAATTTCGGTCTCAGGTGGCCCCCAGGACCGGGGAGCAGTGGGTGTGAGTTCCACTTTGCAAGGGGAGGCTGAGGCTCCCTGGAGATTGTCCAGTGCTTCCTGCCTCCCGAGGCAGGGGATGTGGGGAGAAAAGAAGACTCCAAAGAGCTCAGCACTGGCAGTGGGCTGGGTTCCGGAGAAGAGTCTGACCTGATCCAGACGTGACAGTGAACTGCAGCATTTGGGAAACGACAGTGATGACAGCAGGTCCTTTCTCATGCCTCCCACACAGTGGGCAAAATACTCACACACATAACCTTACTTGACCATTACGGGGGCCCTAGGAAGCACGGAGGACCATTATTTTCACTTCAGAGGAGAAAACCGAGGTTTGGGGTATATTCATGAGTTTCCCAGGGTCACCGTAGCTAAGGTGCCTCAGAGGAGAATCCAGGCTCTGTGACTCCGACACTTAGCCATTTAACCACTCTTCTCTTCTTAGCTAATGACCGCAGCCCAGACGTTTGAGTTTCTCAATGGAAATGTTATAGTTTCCCGCCTTGGTCCTTGAGCTGCAGTATTATAAAAACAGCATCATGAAGCATGGTATTTATTGAATGCTTGCTGTGTACACAGCCTGTGGGGGACTTTGACGGTCCAGAGGTGGGTGTGCACAGGAGGGCTCGGGAAGGAGTAGGGGAAGAGGTGTGGTTATTAGGTGATGTGGCCCTGTGTCTGGCTTGGGTGGCAGGATGAATGGCAGGACCACTCACCAGATCAGCACACGGAAGGAAAAGGATCAGCGGGGAGAAGGGGACAGGGACACTGATCACTCACTCAGCACCAGCCCCTTACTCCCTACAAATAGACTTTGTTCATGCTTTGGCTGGTGGTGTAGTGGTGGCGTGTGAACCATTTCTAATCCATGAGTATTAGATAGGGGCTGGAATGACTCCAGAAATGTTGCTTCTTGATTGATCCAAGTGATCCCAGAGAAGGGGTTGCCTGCTGTCCTGTGCTTTCTGCCTTTGCCTGGGGTCGTGGTGTCTGGAGCCGGGACCGCCATCTTGGGAGCCTGTGTTGACGACGTGAATGTGTTGAGCCTTGGTACCCACCTAAGGGGCTGCCCCTCGCCTGCAGAACAGCTCTGTGGCTTCAGATGCCCCACATGGCCAAGCCCACTGTCTTTCTCGTCTCATCCGTGGCGCCTACATGAGTGGAGCTGGTTTAGTCTCTAGACTCCTCAGCACCCAGGAGCAGAGTGAAGAGGTTGGAACACGGTCACTGCAATGGAAACACAAAAGGCTGGTAAACCCGTCCAAATCTAGAGCCTCCCCCAAAACACGGTAGTTTAGCAGTTGCCTGGGGGAGGGAGTGTCGGGTTCCCTCTCCGTGCAGACCATGCTATAACACCTCTCCTTGGAGTCTGGGGAGGACCGAGGCCAGGCCATGTCTGGCGTTCAGGGGCTCTCCCTGGGTAGCTTCTCCCGAGGTGCAAGTTCAAGGAACCAAGTCTGGCCACCACGAGTGGAGTGGACTCATGAGTTCATGCTCAGGGCACTGCAGCTCGGACCGGGAATGTAGGGGGGAGGCTCCTGTCTTTTAGGGCCCCTGATGCAGGGAGACCCTGTCTATCGGAATACCCAGTTGACTCTGAGCTGTGCTCCCAGACAGCCAGATGCAGCCTTTGCATCCCATCTGCAAGCATTTGAGGGTCCCACAGCCATGGGGATCGGAGCCCTGACCTCTTCCTCCCTCTCCCTTCCTCTTTCCACCCCCCTCCTTCCTCCTGTGACATCTGAGAGGGGCTGGCAGCCTGGTTTGTCACAGTCACAATCTTTGAAAGCCTCCTCCTTCCCGACCTCATTCTCCCCCCACTCCCCCTGCCCCAACCCCAGAGCCTCCCATGTCCGCTCCTATTTGGCTCCAGATGCTGGAGGTTACAAACTGCCCGCCCTGGCTTTTCCATCGCCCTGCATTGTCTTCACTGCCTGTCCCACTGCAGGAGTGCAGGAGTGCGCAGCCCCCACCGGCGTGTGCGTGCTGACCTCCTTAGCTCCCAAGTCAACTGATTGCACCTGAATCCACTTAGAGGTGAAAGGATAAAGCAATTTTCTTCAAGATGTGCCCTAAACTCTTTCGTCTTGGAGGTCTCCAAAGGGCAGGAATGAAGGGTGCCCCTCCCATCCCACCCTACATCTGTCTCAGCACCCGAGCCAGGCTCGCCTGGGGCCAGGCGATCTGGAAGAAGCCCTGGCTGGGTTTGTCAGAGATGTGCAGAATCTCGCCCACCGTGCTAGGATGGTGGCCATGATTGGTTGGTCAGCTGACTCGAAGAGTGCCAATTAAACATGGACACGATCGATCTGCATTAGAAAGTGGGGAGGCAGCGATGGGAAAGGAGGCTGAAGTGCATCGGTCTGATGTGGGCCAATTCGCTGTGACCCGAGCTTTGTGATTGTTAGAAGAGGGGGACAGTAAGCTGGGGCTCAGCATGGCAGACCTCTGCTCCCAGCTCTCTCCACCGCTGGGGCATCTCTGCACCGCCTAGCCCCAGGATGTTTGGGAAGAATGTTGGGTGGTGGCTGCCTGTAAGGTCGGAAGGCAGAGACCCAACTTCAGATCCCAGGCCTGGTCCCTATTCACTGTGTTCCTTGAGCAAGTTACTCTCCTCTGAGCCTCAGTTCACCGCTGCCCCAAGACCTGCTGGAAGGATCAAGGCAGGGAGCATTGAGCATGGAGTCAGCCCTGGCTGCATGCTGTGAGCGTTACCCAGCTCAGCCATTCGCCTGTCCCTGGCTTGGGTGTTCGCATCTGAGAGGGTATGGAGGGACTTAAAAGACAGCAGAGTTTTATCCTTGCAACACCAGCTTCTGGTCCCCTGGTCCTCTGTCCTCCTGGTTGTCTTTCTCTTGCAGTTTTTGTATGGAGCAGGACAGGGCTCCTGTGCTGACATCTCCACAGCCCTGATTCCCTCATACTTTGTCCGTCTCCGTCAGTCGACAGTGAGCTCCCATGGGCCCAAACCATGTCCAGCTAGCTCTGCAGCCTAGTCCTCCGGCAGCTACTTAGCACAGTAATGGCTTGGGTAGGGGACTGTTTGAGCCTCAGTCTGTCCAGATGGAATACGGGACTGAAACTATACTTTCTCACAGCAGAGTGGTTATAATGGAACTAGGCCATCCATGCACGGTAGGCAGCACACAGTATGTGCTCAACAAATGTTTGCTGTGTTAGTGTCCTGATTGTTCCAGTTGTTCCAAGTGACTTGTCCCAGGGGTCTCAGATATCCCACTTCCAACCAGCAGTGCCATGGGCTGGCAGTGGATGCTTCCCTGATGGAATCTCTGGAAAGTATCAGCAGCCCAAGGGTCCTAGGAGCTGGCAAACTGTCACTAAGTGAAGTCAAATGAGCTTCTCCTTCTGTTCTCCCCAGTTCTAGGCATCTTCGAAACCCTCAGTGAATTTCCATCTTTCTGTCCAATGCCTTTGTGGAAGTTTCAGGCTTTACCCCAAATTCTTGCCTGCTTGGACAACCCATTCTGCCTCCTAAAAACCACTTAAGGGTAAATGTGTACACCCAGCAATTCCACCTCCCCATGCTCTCTGAGAGAAACACTTGCAAATGCTCATAAAGGGCCACATAAAACAACACTCGTTGCCACCCTGTTTGCAGCAGCAGCAAAGTGGAGACAGCCTGAATGCCCATCATCAGGAGACGGCTAAATAAATCACAGCGTGTCTGTTCTGGGAAAGAACGTTCAGCAGTTTAGAGTAATGAGAGCAATCTACAGAGGGATTTGCAGGACATATTGATAAGTGGGAGAAATTGCAGAATGATTGCATTCATGTAAAAACAAAATTAAAAAGCACGTAGCTGAACATTGCTTCTAGCAGTGCAGAGAAGTTTCTCCAAGGAGCAAAGCAAGAACAGTGAAGCCAAGCAAGATGGATTGGAGGGAGAAGAAAAGAAAGTCATGAGGATTTTCACTGCTCATTTTCCTCTTGAAATACTGCATATTTGACAATAAGAATCCACTGGGCATTCTTACCATACTTGGGAAGTAAAAACACGCAGGGAAGGTGAAAATTGCAATTCTAAAGGACATAATCTCAGCACAATTCTGTAAACATGATTCTATTCCCAGTGCTTTGCAACTGGAGAATGGAAATAAATTGTGTTATATCCGTGTACTGAAAGACTATGCTAATAAGAAAAAACAATTGCAATGATGCACAGCGACATAAATGCTGTTGAGTGATATCATTGGATGGAAGGACCTATGTTCCAAAGAGCCACATTGCATGGTTCCATTTGCATAAGGAACAAAACCACAGAAAACAAACCTGGGGGCAGAGAGGTCTTCGGGAGCTGGGAGCTTCCAAATTCAGGGATTCTTTCCTGATCCGTGTGCAGGTTACACTGGTTTGTTCGGCTTGTGAAAATTCATTAAGCTGAACTCTTACGATTGGTGTGCCTTTTGGTATTCATGTTATACATCAGTAAATTTTTTTTTAAAAGTCAATACATTAAAAACTTCTTTTATACAACAGGAGGAAAAAGCCCTTTGTCTTCCCAGAAGAACCACCATAAACCAGTCAAAACCATTTTCCAAGGCTTTAACACAAGTAAACAATCATTTATTTAATGAAGGGTGGAGTCCGCAGCTTTCATCAGATTTTCAAAGGGAACCTTCACCCCCTGTAAGATTAAGAACAAATGCCAGCTTGCTTTTGCAGTGGTTGGAAAGGTGGGGTGGGGTGATTGCAAAAAAAGAAAAAAGAGAAATTCACTTCCTGTTCTCAAGACATCGGGCCTGAAAAGTCCAGGGGGCTGTCGGAAGTGGGGAGGTCGGGGTGAATTCCATCTGCCCTTCCCCCAAGTTCTTGGTCAAAGTTGCTTCTCTCTTGCTGGGGGATGCTCAGCTTGTGTGTCCCCACACATCTGCAGTTTACGGTGCCTTGATAGATGCAGACTGATTTACAGGGAGGCTTGGGCTGGGGCAAATGTTCCCAGAGGAAGGGCCCCCTACTCGTTTGTAATTTAGGGGCGTTTCTTAAATTCCCCAGGCCATTGGCTCCCAGCAGAAAATAAATGTGGGTCATTTCTGGGATAGACGCTTCCCAACATATGCGTCCCTGTGAAGAGAGATAGAGGGCCGGGCCGAGTGGCTTTTCCCCATAAATCACCCTGCATTTGGAAAATAGCCCCTCTCCCTGTGAGAGAGGAGAGGGAGAAAGAGGTTGGGCAGACTCAGGTGCAGGACATTTGGAGGAAGCAATGGGCCAGAGGCAGGGAAAACTGGCTGCTGGGGACATGGCAGCTTAAGGAGACCCTGTCCCAGCAGTGGCATTACACCAGCATGCCATGTAGTGCATCTTTACTTTTTTATTTGTTGGTACTGAGGATTGAACCCAGGCCCTTCACACTGAGTTACATCCCCAGACCTTTTTTAAAAACTGATGTGGAGACAAGATCTTGCTAAGTTACTAAGTTGCCCAGGCTGGGCTCAAACTTACAATCCTCCTGCCTCAGCTCCCAGAGTCCTGGGATTACAGATGTGCACCACCACGCCCGGCTTTTATTTATTACCTTGCAGTGTGATGCTCCATGGTTACCCACTTCCTGTCTTTTGCTTTTTCTCTGAACAGTCCACGGGAAAGGAGTACTGAATATAGATGTGGATTAGAATCCTGGAGTTGTCCAGTCCTGGCCATGTGAACTTGGACATGCTACTTAAACTCCTTGATTCTTATACCATCATCTATAAAATGTCTATCCCATAGGGTTCTTGTGGAGGAGGAGTAAGTGAGGTTAAATAAAATCAAATGCCTCTATGGGATATTCAGTTGAGTTGCAATTCATAGTTATTACTATTTGTACGCCTTCCTTTATGTCAGTGGTTCTGTGACGCAGGGGTGACTTTGCTCCTGGGAGACAATTGACAAGGTCAGGTGATGTTGCTGGCTGTCGTGGCTGAGGGGGAAGGTGGTACTGGTATCTAATGGCAGAGCCAACAAGGCTCCCACACACCCTCTGTTGTATAGAGCAGCCTTCCAAACCAAGAGTCACCCAGTGAAAATGCCAACTTTGAGGACTCTTGCTCTAGGCTGTAAATGTTGTCCTTTCCCTAGCATTTCTATGCTGTTTTTGCATCTTCTCCCTTATTCTTTATATCATACTAGAAGGCAAAGTTAACTGTCACATGTCCAACATTATCCAAAATCCGGCTGGGTCCAAATCCTGATGAGTCTACCACTTCCTGGCTGCATCCTGTGTGGTCAGACAAGTCACTCAGCCTCCCTGAGCTTTGGTGTCATCTCTAAAAGTGGGAGCTACAATGATGCCCTGGAAAGGGGGCTCAGGGGCCCCCTCAGAAACACACCAGCGGCCTTCACCATCCCCGATGACCTGAGAAGACCATGGCCTTCTTGAAGATGGGGACCTCGGCAGCTTCATTTCTTTGTCCCTTCCTTTTCCCTGAGTTTCTCCTTTTGCTCCTTCTCTTTCATTCCTTCTCTCTCTTTTTTCTCCTGCTCACCCTGGGGCAGAAACAGAAGGGGCCCAAATTCTCCCTGCTGTGGTTACACATGCACAATTTCAAAGCCTACTTCTGAACACAACGTGACCTGTTTAAAGGGGGATGCTCTGCTAGTCTGGTTTCTTTCTCTTTCACTCCCTGGCTCTGCTTATTAAAGTTCGGTTCCTGTAGGAGGAAGGGGTGAACTTTGAAAGCTCCGGAATGAACGCTCCTCAGGGCCTGCTTATCACATCACGCACGCCCCCTGCCTCTCCAGCCCTGATGGTGATCGTGGGGATCAGAAGCTCCTGGGCGGGCTGCCACCCTCTCATCATCTGACCCCCGCTCATGGGCCACTCAGGGCCGCACGAGGGCCCTGCCCCATGCATCTGGGCACCACCTGCCCATTTCCCCCACACCGGGGGCAGAGTGAGCCCGGCTCCAGGAGAGCCCCAGGAAGACTTCAGCTCTCAGGGGCCCTATTTTAAACAAGGGATCTCACTCAGCAGGGACGGAGCAGCTTCCCCATGAGGAGCTGGGATGAGCGTGCGCCATGCGATGTCCTTGTTGTCACTGGGTCCTCAGGCCAAGCCATGAAGGTGGCTGCTTCATGGTGCCTCTGATAAAGAGCAGGAAACGAAGGCTCACAGAGACCCAGCAACTCACTGGAAGACAGATTTGCTATGTGGTGGAGCTGGGCTTCCAAGCATGGTTCCTGGATGCCATGGTGACCAACTTGTCCTTGTTTGTCGTGGCCTTCCCAGTTATAGCACTAAAAAACTGGTGTGGTTTGTAATCAGTAGGAGAGAAAGCAAGGAGACTAACTCCGATATTGCAAATTCTGCTCGTCTTTTACAAAGAATATTTTTCCCTCCTTCCCTTTTTCTTTCATTCCCTCCTTCCTTTCCTGTCTCTCTCCATCTTTCCCTTTCTCCCTCTTCCTTCTCCCCTCCCAGCCCTTCTTCTCACTTTTTCCTCCCTCCATCCCTCCTTCTCCTTTCTGCTTGGTCTACTAGAACCAAAGAGGTTGGGCCAGCAGTGATTTTTACTAAAGAATCAAGAATTACTAAAAACAGAACATTTGGATTTGCAGAAAGTTGCTTTCTAGTGCAAAGATTATGCACCAGAAATTCTTCCACAGGTTTGTGATGTTCCCAGGACCTCTCCTCCTCTCCCCTGATGTGCTTTCCCCTTTCTCATGGATCATCTTATATATTCTAAAATGTCCCCTGCCCATAGGCATGGTGGGTTCCTTGAACAGATCTGATGTGGAAGATGTAGAATCCCAGCTTCCTGGTTAGCCCTTGAGGGTGACTCCACACTCTTTGGGCTCAGCCAGTGAATGCCTGTGGTCCATTCCCTGGGCAATGCTGATTGGCCCAGAGGTGTGGGCAGGGATGTGTGCAAACCAATGAGAGCATGGCCACAAGTCTCCCTGGGACCTCTCTGAGCCTTAGTAACCTGTGGCCCATGGGCTCGGCTCCTGTTCAGGTCCATTTCTCTTCCCCCTCTTTTCCCACATTGACTACATTTCCCAGCCTCCACTCCGTGAGGTGAGGTCATGTGACTCAATTTCTATACCGGTCGGTTCTGCATATGTACAGAAAATGTTTTTTAAAAATTCCATTTGTACTGAACACATACTTTGTTCCATCATCATTATTGCCTACACAATCCAGTATTAAACTATTTGCATGGCCTTTACATTGTAGTAGGTATTATAAGTCATCTAGAGATGGTTGAAAGAACACAGAATGGTATTCATAGGTTCTATGCAATTACTGTGCCATGAGCATCTGCCAACTTTGGCATCCACCAGGCATGGGAGGTTGTGGAAACACTCTGTCCACAGGTGACCACACAGGTGGGTGTGATATCTACCTCGTGGTCCAGCGACACGGCACCTGTCATGCCCTTTCCTTCTCTGTGCCCTTAAGTGATGGGAGAATCACAGGTAGAAGGAATCTGGTTCCAGAATCACCTCCTGGAAGTGGCTGCCTATTGGTCGGTACAGTAATACCTGTTTTGGACTTTATGACAGCTGGAAATACACCATATTGGTGTGAGCCACTGAGTTTTGAGGGCTTATTTGTTATAGCAACTGGCCTAATTAGCACAGGGTGGTCACATTTCTCTGCACTTTAACACACAGAATCCCTATGCTATTCAGAAAGCCCAAGCAATTCTCCCTGCTATGGCTGCTTGCATGGTCCCTGCTGGGAATATCCCACTGTTTTCCTCCTAGTTTACACTATCATCATCTCCCCTTCCCAATCTGGTATGAGGGAATTGAACTCTGCTCCTTTGCACTGAATTACATTCCAGCCCTTTCTATTTTTTTTTTTTTTTTGAGAGAGGGTCTTGCTAAGTTGCTAAATTGGCCAGATTGGGCTCAAACTTGCAACCCTCTTGCGTCAGCCTCCCAGAGTGCTGGGATTACAGGTGTGCACCACCAGGCCCAAATTCTATGATCATCTTTAAGAACCTTATGAAGCCTCACATCTTTGGTGGTTCTCCCATAGCATCTCTTCTTTAAGAGACTTGTAGCGTCTCTCATAGTATCTCTTCCATTCACTCATTCACTCATTCATTCTCTGAATAGACTTTATGGGGATCTTCCTTGAGCATCTAAGAACTTTTCTAAGCACTGAGTATTCAGAAGAGAACAAATCTTGGCCACCTTATCTTAAAGTTTAATGAAGATAATAGACTAAACAGAAATAGAGAGCATGATCTGTTTTGTAAAAGCGCTAAGTACAGTCTTATACAGAGGTCTGTGGCTGCAGGTTTGGAAGGAGAATGTCCCACAAAGAATTGCTATTATGACAATGGCCAGGTATTGTTTGTGTTTACAGAGAGTTAGCAAATCTGAGCTAGTCCTCTGCTTGGCCCATCTTCTG